TTTTTTTGACATACGCGAATCTGTTATGAATGGTATTCACCCTCCAGGGAGGTGTATTCTCCTGCAGGTGGAATGATGAATGTGCAAACTGGTTCTGAAACGCAACAATGAAATGAGGCAATGGCGCGGTGAGGGGGGCATATGTAAAAGCGCGAGAGAGGCACGAGAACTCTCCGCGTATGACCTATCCAACGGCGTGAAGTGTCAACTGTGGCTCTCATTTCTTCTACAGCGCTGTAAAAAAAAAAAAATAAAAGCACTCCCTTCTTCAGCTACACTTGACCATACATTTGATAAGAATTACATTTTGGCAAAAGAAAGGGGAGTTCAATCCTTCTACATTTTGTGCACATGCATAAGTACGCGCCTCGAGAGTTGTGGGGAAAGCGATGAACAAGTGCATACCACTTGGTAGCGGTTTCGACTTTCAACGGGAACAAACTGACATGGATGCTCCCCACCCGCTTCGCGTCCCCGTTTCGCGTACCCGCTTTGCTTCCCCGTCGTTCACATAGAGCAAAAATTCAAAACCCAGGTAGGGCAAATTTAAGCATAGGACCATTCCACATGCTAAGTCAACCGGGTGCCTACTGCACACTGATTTGAGTAGCCCCAGATCGCCCGCGCGATATTTTGAAGCTGCATTTTTTGACATCGCACGTGGGGTACACACAGTGCTTCACGGCGGGACCCGCTAAGTGCGACGCGCTTCCAGCGAAGTGTTACCTGCGACGGGCCTACCCCTGATGAGTTGCATGAACAACTTCCAGAGGGTCCTGTACGCCTCGCGGTTCATGCGGGTGTTCGGGAAATTCAAGCGGGCGCAGCTGAGGGAAAAGCCGCACAGGAAAATAGGCCCCTTCAGTAACCCCGTGAAAAGATTAGTCAGGCTAAAGGAGAAGGAGAGGCTGTTTTGCGAGTTGGGGACGCCGCGCATGATTCCAAGAGCCAAAGGAGGTGGAAGGGAAAAAGTGCTCGAACTAATTAAAGCACCAAAGGTAAGCAAAGAAGTCCTGGACAGACGATTAGAGTTTTTACTCTCTAATGAAAGCGTATATCAGCAAATGTATAACAAAATGTATAATGGGATAACTCCTTACCAGTGTGAATTGTTCATGTGGGAAAGACAAATGAGAGATCTGAGGAAGATTTACAGAGCACAGTATTTGCACAAACTAAGTGAAGTCACTAGGGAAGAACGAGAGAAACAAATAAAGTTGATTATGCAGACGAGGGAAGATAAAAGAAGACGCAGAGAATTAATAAGGGAAAGGGTACTGGAAGATAAAAAAAGAAAGGCCATTTTGAAGGACCGTTTATCTTTAGAAAAAAAAGTCACACAATCTATCCTATTTAAAAGACAATCAAATAGAAAAATGAATAATATTTATTGGCTAGCCAAACTGCAGAGGAAGAGTGAGTATGCTGATGCGGAAGATTTTAAAGATAAAATTGAGAGAAGCGGTGCAGGCGACACAGGGGGGGGAGGAAGTACTGGATCAGGCGAATATAATACTCGTGGCAAAATGGCTGGACGTGTGAATAGAACGGGAAGCGCAGATGAAGACACTCTGTTTAATCGTAACATCTCCACAAGTGCCTTGTACAAAGATCTGGGGTATGAGACAAGAGATGAAAAAAGTGAAAATACAAAAATTTTTAAAGTGGACAAGGTATACAGAAAATTGTTAGAAGAATCATTTGAGTTCTTGGAAGAAGATGAAGAGGAATATGGACCTATGAACCAGTTAGAAAAAAATGAGGAAAATGTAACTCATAAGGAAAGAGCCCATATTTTATACTCTTCCTTTACTGACGAGGAAAAGATCAAACTGCTAGACGATAAAATAGAAATACTCACAAAAAAAATTGAAGAACAATCTTATGCCAAAGGTCTCGACAATAACAACATTATGTTTTACATTCAGCTGAGGGATAAGTTGGAGGCGTCCAAACAGGCCTTCTTAGAAACGAGTTACTTGAAAAAGGTTATAAAAGAAGATTAGCTAGGTTGGTGGAGGTCGTGGTGATTTTATCATTTGCCTCACAGTGTCTTGTCTGTAAAGAGCTTTCTCTCGCAGAGCTGTCCTACAAAGCAATGTCTCACCAATCCGACACGACAAGCATGCTAAAACCTGTTTATGCGCAGAAGTTGTTGCGGTTCACCATTTTGCGGGTTAAGACATTTTAAGCGGCAACTTTTTTACGAAATCACGCCCGTTTATCCCTTTTTTTAAGTAAAAGTGTGTACATGCATACATTTTTTTTATTTTTGTTGGAGACGTGCCAATTTGTAAAAAATGTACCGTGTATTGCGCGTGAAGAGGCCATCTTGCTTCTACCCTTTAGAAGCGGATTTCATTTGCGAGTGGGGGAAGTAAATACACACTAGGGTTAGTTATCATTTTGGCGCGTTGGTCATGTCTTCTGCCTTACTCCTTAGCATATATGCCCCTTTCATGAGGTCACATTTTTAGCAGCTTCGGATGAACATGTGTTGTCAATTGTACAGATTGGGTTGAGGATCGGTTGTCCCCTCGTGTTTTATGCAATAATTAAGCAGTGTTGATAGTTATCCCATTACGTATTAAACAAAAAAAATGATCTCTTTAAAATTATTTCATCGCGCATTTAAAAAAAGCAAATCTTGTGATGTACGGTGCGGGCGCACGTAATGCCTCTCACCCAAAAAAAAAAAAGAGCAATTAATAACATGGCCATGCCCTCTAAACGGAGAAAAACTTATGAAACGAACAAATTTATGAAAAAAAAAAAAACACAAAACAAATATCATCAAACGGTTCGGCGTTACTCTTTTTATAAGAAATTAAAAATGGTTTAAAAAGGAAAAAAAAAAAAAAAAAAAAAAA